ACACACACCCACACACGCCCACACACGCCCACACACGCCCACACACGCCCACACACGCCACAGACGGCCACACGCGCCCACACGCGCCCACACGCGCCCACACGCGCCCACACGCGGCCACACGCCCACACGCCCACACGCCCACACACACCACACACACCACACGCCCACACACCCACACACACGCCCACACACACACGCCCACACACGCCCACACACGCCCACACACGCCCACACACGCCCACACACGCCCACACACGCCCACACACGCCCACACACGCCCACACACGCCCACACACGCCCACACACGCAACACACGCAACACACGCAACACACGCAACACAGAACAGACACACAACAGACACACAACAGACACACAACAGACACACACAACACACAACACACAAACACACAACACACAACACACAACACCCAACACCCAACACAGACACACACACACACACACACGCAACACAGACGACACGCAACACACACACAACACAGACGACACACCACACACACACACACACAACACACACACAACACACACAACACACACAACACACAACATACAACAAACAAACACGCAAACACACAACACACAACACACAGCACACAACACACACCACACAGCACACAGCTCACAACACACCCACACCCACACGCCCACGCACACGCACACGCACAACAAACACAACCGGCGCGGACACCCACGCAGAGTGCGCACGCATATTTACATATCTAAATCACCCTGTTTTGCACCGCTTTGATGCTGACCAGAGTATCGCTGTCATGTGGGGTTATCCGGTCCTTTAATTTCATTGTTTTAGGGTAGTTCTCTTCGCTATTTGAGCTTCTTGTAAGGACCGAGCTGCTAACGGACAAGGCCCGCTCTTGGTGACTTGTACTTGGAAGAAGGCTCAATGACAACGTCAGCCGCAAACTCCATGCCTGCCAGAGCTCTGAAATGATGTTGAAGGTGTGCAAGAACAGTGTTTCAGTATTCCATGCCTTCAGGAGGACGTTTGGTGCTGGCACAAATGTTTAAATGATGTCACTGTCACAGTTACAAAAACCCACGTCTGCCACGAGAACGCTGCGAAGGACATGTGCAAATCACTGCCAGGACGCCACTTTTCGTCAAGTAAGACCGAGAAACGTGGCGTTCCCGTCGTATTTGTACATGTTTTCGGTTCTCGTAGCAGGCGTGAGATTCGTGACAGAGAGGAGACAGTGACCCTCGTCGAAATTGTCATTTCTCCCAACTTAGAAAGTGTTACCAGAATGCACCAAACCCATACCTGCCAGGACTTTGACACAAGAAGCTGGAAATGTTGAAATTCTGCAAGAACGCCAGTGTTCCATTCCGAAATTTCTGCATTTCTCCCAGCATACGTCCTTCCAGCAGGATGGATTTGGTGGTTAAAATCATCAAGGACCATATTTTAGTTCACTGTATTCCTAAAAAAAAACAGGGTTTTTGTCGTTTAGGGCAGGTACGTCGAAAAGTGCTCAGCAGAAGCATAACAGAGTCTTCATCTTTCCCACTTTTGTACCGTTTCGTGACCTTTTCATTCACCGTTGCTTTGTTTCATTTTTTTGCTTTGTATTTACATTTGTATCATGTTTTCAGAAGATTTGTTTGGGCCACATCCATCGGAACGGTTCTTCTTGTTTGACAAAAGGGCGCGACACAAAGAGTCGCTTGTGAGGAGCTGCGGCCTGGGAGCGGCTCACTTTCGTTTCATGCTATGAAGCCACAGCACGGCAGCACGATTTGGCTGCCGGCCTTTATCGGGGCATCCGGCCTGCAGCACGCGCGCTTGTGCCAACAGTGTTCTGGACACCGCTCGATTCTTGGATCACAGAGGGACGAACCCACTCCTATTGTACTGCTCTTGCTACTCCTGCTACTGCTGCTATTGCAGCTGCTGCAGCTACTGCTTGCTGCTACTACTTCTACTACCACAACTACTGCTACTGCTACCACTACCACTACCACTACCACTACCACTACCACTACCACGACCACGACCACGACCACGACCACGACCACGACCACGACCACGACCACGACCACGACCACGACCACGACCACGACCACGACCACGACCACGACCACGACCACGACCACGACCACGACCACGACCACTACCACGACCACGACCACGACCACGACCACGACCACGACCACGACCACGACCACGACCACGACCACGACCACGACCACGACCACGACTACGACGACATCCTACTACTACTACTACTACTGCTGCTGCTACTACTACTACAACAACTACTACTACTGCTACTACTACTACTACTACTACTACTACTACTAGTACGACTATATACTACCACGACCACTACCATTTCTACGACGACATCCTACTACTACTACTACTACTACTGCCGCTACTACTACTACTGCTACTGCTACTACTACTACTACTACTACTACTACTATTACCTACGACGACTACTACAACACTACTACAACTACTAGTCCCCGCCAAACCAAAGCGGCCGGGCCAAAGTCCTTGGATTGGGTGGGCTCGTGAAAGATTGGCTGAAAGACACCCGATACATATGCGATTCATATCTCCAAAGTCGTTCCAGCAACCAATGACCCATTCTGGGTTCCCGAGCAGTTTAACCGTTCAGGCGAGGATTCCGGGCTGTAGGTTTCGGACCCTCAGGTTTTTCGCATTTTGCATGCCGAAAGCTGCAGGCCCAGGCGCAACGCTGAACTGCAAAAACCGAACTTTTGTCGTCGAAACCCCATCACTTCAATGGCATTTAACGATGAAAGTGAACCCTAGAAGCCTCGACCTTGCCTTGCGCAACCCTCAGGCTGGAGGCCACTAGCCGCCGAAAACACATGCTAAGGGTTCAGGTTTGGCTACCTATTGTGACTCAAGTGCATTGAACCATCTGCGATGTTTCTTCTTTTGTCAATTTGTGCGGACTTGCACGAGCGTTGGTGAGTTGACATGTTGATACAGCTGCAACCCTCATCGTCGAGCGTACTGAAGAAGCTCGGGGGTTTTCGGCCATCGTGCTGTAATTGCAAAGTTGTAGTTCTTAGATAATTCGACAGCTGCCATAGTCTGGAGCATGCAACTCAGTGTGACATGAACTCCATTTGCGCTGGTCCAGCAACGTGTGCGATCCACAGACGAGTGCAGTAGTTTTCAATTCCTGTCGTCGGGTTCATGGCGACACTTCTTGCTGGCGACAATATTGTGGAGGCTGTGTCAATCACGAAACAATTGTTTCAAGTACGAGATGGGAATGTCGTTTGCAAAACATGACGAAGGCACGTCGTCGACCACTGGCTCCTCTTTGGGCTGATGAAAATATCCGCCATGCGTTGTGCCAAGAACCGGCACGAGATGAGCATGCGTATCAGAGGAAGCTATGCGATCCCACCAAGTCCGACCAAAAGTCAATTCGACATGTTTTGAAACATTGCATGGTATTCTGCCGAGGCAGATTCCAAGGGCGGTGCTCTCCGCCCCTTGCAGGAGGAGGATTCAAAGCAGCATTGTTCATGTGTTGGTGCTTTATGTATTGCTTGACGTGATCTGCATGTCCAAAGGCAAGGAAACTCCGCAGCCTTCTGACGTTGTGCATTTTGACAGGGGAGAGTGTTTGTCAGGTTGCTGTGCGGTACAAGGAGCTCGTGAAGAGAGAGCAGGCGTGGTGTGTGGAGCTGTGCCTGCATCTGCGAAGGCGAGAACTGTGGAATGCATCTTATCGTCGCCCTGCTCAGGCATTAGCTGCACGCGAGCAGTTGGCTTCCGAAGTCTGCCAAGCCCAGGAGAGCAGATCATGTGTGTAACGACTCTGCAACAGCCGTAGGTCGTCCACCAGCACACCACCAGTCAGCCCAGCTTTCTGGAACAGCATCGTGTAATTCAATTTGGTGTCATATCGTTCGCAGATGTTTGCTGAAGCATTCAGGAGGAGCGTGAGCAGGATTTGGAGGCGTTGGCATTGCGGCTTCAGCAGCAGACGGAGGCGGGTTTCATGGCTTCAACTATATAACACACCAGCACATCAGGTAGTCAAGATGCTTCCTAATTAAGCCATCATGAGTCCCCCACCACAATCACCTCAGTGTGTCTTTGCTGAATTTTCTGATCTATTGCTCAAGCGACCAGCGACTTGAGAAGACGACGGCAGTTAGCTGCCTTAAACCAATCCCCATCGCCCGCTCGATATTCTCGACATGCCGCGGAAGCCGATCGTTGGAGGAAACTGGTCGCGGCCTTATGATAGTGCTTGGGGGTCAAGCTTGCGTCATGCTGGACAAGCAGTGGAGACGGCACTTTGCCCGCAATGCGACTAGCAGGAAGTGCAACCCGAAGACGATCAAAGAAGCACTGCAGCTAATCCAGGACTGGAAGAACCAGGCGTTGCTGGGGAGGGCTTCTCTGTTCCTCACTTCAGAAGCTTGAGTTCATGACGGCACGCTGCGTAAGTCCATCGAAACGTCTTTGTATGGTATCGGCATCCAGTCGTGGCAGATGGAGTCTCTTTTTAGTTGGCTCCATTCTACCAGGTACCGGTGGACAAGAGAAAAATCGAGGTGTTTGCTTGCCCTATGTTGTGCGAGGCCCAGAGAAATATCAGAGTTTTCCGTCTGAACTGAGCCGTAAGCACGTTGACATCAGCTTCCTGTGGGAGGGATCACGCAGAGACCACTCGTGCTGTTTGGACCTCGACCTCGAGACGGCCGATTCACTGACTGCAACGTTAGATCGGGGTGAATATGGTCCACCAGCAACAGCAAGACACGGAATATTCGACATCAGCAGACAGGCAGAATGCCGCCTGCACATATCTCTCTCTCTCTCTCTCTCTCTCGAAAGAGACACAACATTGTCACAACATGCTTAGTTTGCATACCATGTGTACATTCACAGATACACACATACCCAAAATCACAATGCATAGATTCATGAACGCATAGATGCATGCATACACACATACACACATACATTGTATGAAGTTACATCACATCATACTGCACCCTGCACCATACTACACTACACTATGCCACATAACGTTACATTTCACTACATTACATTAACTTGCGTTGCATTACATTGCACTACACGACAGTACAGTACGATACATCATACATACCCGCCCCCCCCCCCCCCCCCCTCCAAATGGTATTCCCACCCCTGCGCCGCGGCCCCTCCCAGCGGTCTCGGAACGAACCCACGCAAACCAGACGGAGGGAGGACAGAATGATCCAGCCAGTGCTTCTTCACAGAGCGGAGAACTGCATCAGAGCAGGGACAAGGGCACTATTTGCAAGGGCAGGGAGAAAAGGGCAACATCAAAATTTTCCAGCGTGGCAACGAGCACGAGGCTGCAACCATACCTCTGTAGAACACACTACCCCCCCTGGGCGGGGCGGGGCCAACCAAAAAAACCACAGGCCCCACGCCACTGGGGGGGAGGGGACAAGGCCAAACAAGACCAAGGGGGAAGACGGAGAAAGCAACAAGGCCAAACAAGAAAACTACCCACTTGACATGCAAGGGGGGGATACCGTGGGGCGGGGTGGGAGGGGGGTGCAGCAGCCCTGCGTCATACATACAGAATGCATAGCTTGGGAGAGCACTCAGTTTTCTGGAGCGGTAGACTTACTGTTCTCTGTGTACTTCGAAGGTTTGCATTTTGTGTACCAAGTCTGATTCTTGAACTTGGCACGTGGAGAATTAGCATATGTTCTGATCTAGGCCCCATCTTCTGAAAGTGAAGCAGCCTCTTGAGAAGATGGGCATCTCTGCTTGCGCGCAGAACTGTGGAGGGCTCAGCTCCATAAGCGATTCATGCACGCAGACCACTTCAATATGCTTCCGTTGATAGCTGGAATGCATTTGGTTTCAGCCTCAGTGGCGCAGGCAGCAAGACCGGGGAGGGAGCATTCACCGGAGAGGCCTATCCGCATAGGTCTGCAGTCGCAGTGCTCGCCAGGTTTTGGTAAGATCTTTTGAAAGAGTATAGATTGGTCTCGAAAGTGCAGACAAGAAGCTCTAAACATCGTTTGCAAGCTGAGTCCTGCACACATGTTGAGTTCGCAATGTAGCTGACCTGCCTTGCCAGCTTCGACAGTAGTATTCTCCAGCTCGGTTCTTGCGAGCATTGAGCGGAGGTCAGCGCAGCACAGTTGAAGGACTCGCGCGTGCAGCAACTGGGGCAGAAATCAGCAAATGCATCGCGACATGTCATCGTGCCGGTGTTGCATGTCATCCGTCACTCAGGCAGTCTGCTCACAACTCAATGAAGAACCCAATAGTTCAGCTCCAGCTACAATGCAGTTCACCAGTGATCTTCATTCGTCCATCCAAGCCCATCCTACACACCGATTGTACAAGACAACTTTGCTTCCTGCTTGTGGTTTTCAGGTGGACTCTAGTTGGCCACTCTGAGCGGCGGACCAAGTATGGCGAAACAGATGAGGTGCCTTGAGCTGTGGAGCACTTCAGCACAGCAAGCACGCTTCAGTAGCCAGGTAGCATGCGGGCATCCAGGGTCTTTGGACCGTTTGCTCATGTCTTCAAGTGACAGGACGTCGCAGAAAAGGTGGCCCAAGCGCTCGCTGCAGACCTGAAGGTTCTTAGCGGCTTTGGTCGGATCCTGACCTTTCTACAGCATGAGAGCAGGTGGTACTGGCAATTGGCGAGCTGTTGGAGGAACGTGAGGTCGTTTGCCCTTTTCTTCAATCCGGTCTATGGGAACAGGGTGGATGTGAGTGAGTGTTTTTGTTTTAGCATGGCAGGGTGGCAAGACCAATGAAGTCAATGAGCGGATGCTGGCACCGGTCATTAAGAAAGTGAAGGCTGAGGCGGAGCCGCTTCTGCACCCGTGCAGCCCTGCCACCGTGTAACTGGCTCGAGTTCTCTGCAGGACTGGAACCGCATCGTTATTGCTTACGAGCCTGTTTGGGCCATTGGAACAGGAAAGGTGGCAACGCCCGAGCAGGCGCGAGAAAAGAGGAGACAACGGCCTAAATTCTAAATCGTCTGAAGGTTTGCACTCTCGGTTGTGTTTTTCGATTACAGGCAGAAGAGACGCATGCTGCGATCCGCTCCTACCTAGCGAAGGCTGTGAGCGAGGACGTGGCAGAAAAGGCCCGATTTCTTCTTGCAGTCAGTCTTTTTCTGAAAGAGCTTTGTCGACCGGCAGAGGTCCGGATCCAGTACGGTGGCTCTGTTACGGTGGAGAACTGCCTGGTTCTTAATGCTTGGTAGAGTGGTGTGTCATGTTTACAATCCCTGCAGTGTTGCAACAAGCCCAGGTGCAGAGCTCATCAAGAAGCCGAACATTGACGGCTTCTTGGTTGGAGGCTGCTGCAGAAAGAACCTCGGACTTTCCATGTTTGTGTTGCAAGTGAGTGCGATGTGCTTGCGAGGCGCGTCCCTGAAGCCGTCCTTCATGGAGATCATCCAGCTCTCCGGCGCATAAATTTGCGCTTTCTCTTGTGGCCAGACTCTGACATCTTGCAAGCGCACGGGCAAGCGCCCCCGAGGAAGAGCACTCCTCCTCCGGTTCTGAAGAAGCCCAAGTTCTCAAAAATATCGGAGCTCCTTCCCAACACGAAGGTTCCCAGCGAATTTTACGAGGTCTTGCATTTCCTGACGATGGGCTTTCGTGAAAGCATAGATGGTGCCTTTTTGAGTTGATCGTGTCTACTTGCGCCATCCCTTGTGGCTTAGACCCGGAAGGGCAACCTCAAATCTTGCCGAGCCTCACTGACATGCCAGTCTACATCTCACCCGCTCCATCTCCAGCTTCCCGTTAAGTGCCGCCAAACAGCTTTCCGAAGACATCCGACCTGTATGAGAAATGCATTTTTCTGCCACATTAGTCTGCACTTGACTGCCATGGTCTGCGGTGATTGTGCGCGCGTTGCCGCTGTGACGAGCTTGCTGAGCCTTGGTGAGTATGCTGTAAACATGGCGACCGGGCCAAGTTGGAGCTTTGAGCTGGCGGGGGCATTCGCAAGGTCGAGTGCCGCGTTTGCAGGGTCGTCTAAGGACGCGCGGCTGGCGCCGGCTGCTGCGCTTGGCCGGACGAAAGCGTTCCATCAGTTGGGATCCCAGCCCTTCAAAAACAAGGCCAGAGTTGCAAAGTATCGGCGAATGCGACAAGACTCGACAAGATGAGGTCTCTTGACGACGCTTTTTGTGGTGCGTGCCGCACAGATAGGGCAACTCCAGCGCTGGGGAGGCTGCGCACCGAGCATCCAGAACAGCATCCCTCATCTCGATTGTGTTGCTAGGCCTCGTGGCCAAGCTTTCTGATGACCCTTTCTGGCTCTCTGCAGCTCTCCTTGGCGTGGCCGCGGGGAGTTTCACCAAAATAGTTGACAAAGGGTGTAGGCATGCCAGGTGTGCTCAGGTTACATGCAGCAGGTTGGGCAAAAGTGGTAGAGCAGTTACCCGTTTGTAGCGCTGAACGACAGAGCACTCATCGGTTTTGCCCTGACAGGCATCCATCTTGCTGCCTGTTCCGCGAGTCATGCTTGTGGCCCCGGCAGTGGTGGTCATGCTCATCTGTGAAGTAGAGCCGCTCGGGATTTCGTTCGGCCGCTGTGGCAGTACAGCATCTGCAAACAGTCCCAAAAAATCCGAGCAGTACCATCGAATAGACAAATGCTACAGCAGGTAGATGGAGTACGTGTCCTGAGTTTACCGGAAGCTCTTTCACGCCAAAATTAGCATGTGAGAAAGACGTTATCCATTCTCAACGACCCAGGTTGGAGCCCGGCTTGTTCTTCGGCGCTGTGGCCTGGCTGATGCAGACATTGCAACTCCTTTCGGAGCTCATTTGTAGTATCAAGGCCTGATGCTGGTTTGCTTTGTTGCTTGCTGCACAACACCTTTCATCGGCGCCAGGGCCAGGGCACGTCTGGTGTTTGTTGACATTGCAGGAGTTCCTCATATGCATTCTCCACTCTTGGACCTCGCAGCCTCAACGTGCAGCGGGACGCGACTCTGGAGGTTCGAGAAGACTGATGCGATGGGTCTGGTTTACGTGGCTGTTTGTTGCTATGATGTGTTCTTTACTTATTTTCTGCTGGACTTCTGCATTCACCCGGTCAAGCCGATAATCAACACGTGTGGCTGTTCAGACTGAGCGGCTTCTGGCATCCTTTGCTCTGTCGTTGTCTGGCCAGTTTTCTGTGTTGATTCGCTCGGTCTTTCGCGTCATCGGCCTGTTTCTTTTCCGGGCTCGTGAACGAACTGCTCCTGTTTTCAGACGGGTTCGCCACTTATGGGACTCTTCGACGTTCTGGCAATTAAATGGTTATATACGTGTATACATTGTATATATGCGTATGTGCAATATACTGATCTGTATAATGTAGACAGGTGAACCTGTGTGCGGATGTGTTTGAATGTGTTGTAAGGGCACGACATGAAGTTCGGGTTGACCGGAGCGGGATGTGAACACCTTTCGCAACCGAAGAAGACCAAGAACAAGGACGCAACACAAAAGGGAAAAGCCCGCAACCCAGGCCGTACTTAAACTATACATGGAGGTCCATCGCACCTAGGACTCATGCTGAATGAACTTTTATGAATGAGAACATTGAACTTGGTTTTCCGCCACTTTGTGCCAGTCTTTCGCGGTGCTGATTGCGCTGGGATCTAAGATCGATTAGTTGTAGGAGTGGCATGTTTCGTCTTTCATACTTTTGGGGCATAAAACCCCGAAAATGAAAGACGGGCCGATTCGGAACACCGCCGAATTATGCTCCTGCCACTCCTGCTGCTGCTTCCACTTCTTTCAAGTGCTGCGCCGCCCGCAAAGCCCTGCAGAGCTGCAATCGTAAATAGGGTTTGTCCACCGACATCTCCTTATCAGGTTCAGGGTCTGCCAAACCAGAGGTTTTCGTCGGAGGGTTGGGGGTTTCTTGCTACTTGGAAAATTTTCTGTGCTTGGGGTTTGCCACCCAACATCTCGTCCTCGTCAGATTTGCAAGCCGCCTCTTTGCGGTTTGGGCACTTCGAGTGCCAATCGCAACGATCCTATTTTTGTGCGCTCCTCTGAAAGTTGTACGTTTCACCGCGCCGCAGATTTTGTTGTAAGGCTTTTCGTTTCCCGACCATCGCCCCATTTAGCTTGGCCATCCGATTCGCTGGGCACACGCCCCAGCACGATGAGTCGCCACCTCTTCCCAGCGCTTCGGGTTTCGCCAGCCGAGGTAATTTTTTCGTTTACGGTCTCTTCAATCCACCCGTTCTTGCGCTGTCGGGTTTGTCTGCTGAACGGCACTCCAGTCTCTGATTGCCAAAATGTTGCCAGCTAAAATTTCCGTTTAGGGTTTAGGTCTTGCCAACCAACGTGTCCGTTTACGGTTTGGAGCTAGGAAACCAACATCTTCTTGTGGGGTTTCGACCTTGGTTCATCAACCTCGACGTTTCGGGTTTCGAGTTTGCCAACCAACATGTCCTCCTAGGTATTGCCAGCCCATGTCGTTTGATATCTTGCTATGTTTCCCCATAATTTTCCGCAATCGAAATTCTGTTCAGTGTTTTTTTGTTTTCTTCAATAGTTTGCTTTCCACAATGGTCGTCCTTGTTGTCGAATTTGTTGTCCAAGTTGTCGTCCCGCCAACCAAGTGCCATCGTTGACAAACGGAGCAGTATTGATGCTGGAAGTGGACATTTGGTTTGGCACTAGCATGCACTGAGAAACTCGTAAGGAGAACCTGAGTAACAAAAGAGCATCAAGGCCGTAATGCTTACACCTTTCTATCATCGACTTCGACTACTCCTGGCTTCTCTGTGGTGCAAGCTCGATCATTGTTGCCTAGGGCCTAGTTTGTGTGACTCTTCTGAACGATGTTTGCGAGCCGCGGATGACTTGCCGCAATCGACGTGGCATGAAGCAAAACTGTGCTGGCATGTAATGTGTAGGCAATATGTACAAACAAAGATCAGTGACAGAAGAACCAGAAAGGTGCTTGGAATAGACACAGTGTCTGTCATGCGTTTACAAGATGCCCGTTGGAACCATGTCGTTTCCTGGTAGTGCCCGTGATAGGCCGGAGAACCAAATTTGTTGTTCCCCAGCATCAGTTTCACCTTACAACGCTCCATGTTGGGCCAGAGTTCTCCTGGGAAAAAAAATTGTTGTTCCACTCCAGTGTGCATTTAGCCGCTCTCGCTTTAGGAGGTTTGGAAACGGCTTCATGTGGGTGGGTCGGCCGGCGGGTCGATAGGTCGGTGGGTCGAAGGATCGGATTGAGGTCCAGACAGTGGCTGTGAGGCTATGATTTGTTGTCACGATCCGGCTGCACATGCCGCTTCTATAGTTTTCTCATGTAATTGTGCGACAGCGAGCTGTGAAGCACGGCGGGAGGGCTGAAGGAAGAGGAGGACCAGAACGAACGAGAGAAGCAGGAGGAGGAAGCTGGTGGTGGTCAAGCTCGTCAGGTTTTGTGAAGACCGGTTTGAGGCACTTAAAGCCACAAGCTCGTCAGGTCTACGAGCTGTGGAGTGGGGTGCTGCCCTTGTCTTTCCCTTGTGTGTACCTTGGCTGATGCAAAGATGATAGTGCACATGCATTGAGCACATGCCTCGCGAACTTTGCGTAAGCTGAGGTTGCAGCCGTCGTGTACCATGTCGTTGCCATGAGGTGCTTGCACACCTGCAGAAACGAATATGTCTATACATTACATGTATATAGAAACATACACACACACACATTGATGTATGTGTGTGCATACCAAGCTATGCATGTTTGCATATGTGTAGTTGTTTATGTATGTATATACGTGCCACGTATGTATGTATGTTTTTGCATATATGCATGTGTGTATGTATGTACGTACGTATGTATATAGGCGTGCATGTACCTATGTATGTATGTATGTATGTACGTATGTATGTACATATGTATGTATGTATCTATGTATGTATGCATGTACGGATGTACATATGTATGTATGTATGTATCTATCTATCTATCTATGTATATATATGTACGTATGTACGCACGTACTTATGTATGTATGTATGTATTAGGATACAAGGCTTTGGCCCGAGCTTGTGTGTTGATAGTTGAAAGTTGAACATGGTGCCATGGCAAGTGCAAGTCTGCTTGAAGCCTGCTTTGTGGTTCTGACGAGCTTCCACGCCGCCGGGGTGTCAGACTCATCCTCTGTCAGCCACCCAGCATTGTCTGTTCAAACCTGGCAGTTGCCGCTTGCTGCCCAGTTTGTTGACTCAGCGCCCAGCGCCAGGCGCCGTCTCGCATGCTTACTTGCAACTCTCTGTTCGCTCCCTGTGCAGCGGCTCAAAGGGCAGAGAGAGCACAGCGCTGGATCCCGTATACGGTCAGGACCAGACAGGACCCATACCCCCCAGAAAGGGCACAGGGGTGCGCCCAGCCTCACGTAAGGCTGCGAGGCGGCATCCTAACACCGGGCAGATTCTCTACCGAGGTGGTGCCTGAGGCCAAGGCATTGAAGAGCAGGGCGCGCGCAAGAACTGCCAGGAGCAGTGGTCGGCGCGAGTCCTCGAACTCGAACTCGGAGTCTATCGATGATAGCAGCTGCTGAGAGGAGCCTGCAAAGGGAGGTGCACGACCGTGAGGCTCCCCTGCACCGGCCTGCACCTATTCCAGTCAATGCTCACCCTTCCTATGTTCCTGCAGGACCTCCGCCTCGCCCCGACACTTCGGCCCTGGTCTACTCCTATTGGCTTACCGCATTCTGTATCGGCACGGCCTCCTGCTGCGGGACCTTCTGTTCCTGGTGGGACAGCCTAATTGTCTATGTCCCGCGAGATCGTTTTCACTCTTCAACGTACCTGGCAAGTCAGTCTCACTCCTATGGCCACCGGCACGACTACTTCACTGAAGATGACAATGCCAAGCGCGTTCAACATGGCGGTGGCTCCTTCTTCGACTGCCAATGCATCCACGCCTCCTTCCGTGGCTACCTCATCGGCGTCCTTTCTGGCCGGTCCCCTCAGCAGTACGCCTGGCGCATCGGTACCCGGGAGTACCTCTCCACCACTTCCACCTCCCGGCACTGCCAGCTGTCTTCTTCGGCTGTCGAGGGAGCAGGCCATCTGCCCTGTCGGCTGCATGATCAGGACCGCGCACCGGCGCTGTGTGATCTCTCACCTCCCACGGGATGCGCTTGCAAACAAGGTGACAGCCTGCCTGATCATCATTCATACAGTGGCCGCACATGCGTGTTGTGTGCACTGATCTCTGTAGTGCAGTGTAGTGGTGGTGCATCCTGCCCTGAGCACTCAGGCCTTAGCGTGGTGCCTGTCTTGCCATCTGAACGACCACCCACAGGCGCGTCATGTGAGTAGTTTCGGGTTCCGCTTTCCTCATGCAAGGCCTTGTTAACCCGGGACGGATAGTCGACCCGTCTTCTGTGCCCCCTCGGCCCGGCCGGGCACTGCTCATAAAATCCAGATGTCATCAGTTCCAGATGAAACCGATGCTGTGGAGCTGTTCAGTGCGGAGCCCCCCGAGTCGGGGATTGCCTCATGCCCCTCCTATACCTTCAGGCGGGAGGCACTCCAGCTGAGTGGACCCTCTTTCAGGGCGTTGTCCGTGAGTGCTTGGCCACGACGCGCTATAGTGCAAGACTCCAAGACTGTTGAGCTCACTCGTGCTTGGCGGCACGAGGAATCCCTCCACCATCTTCCGCCGCATTTATTGTGGACGGAGGCTGAGGATTGTTTCAGCTTGGAGGCCCGCCGAAACCTCGTGCAGCAGATCAGGGTCCTTCGGGCTTGCAGCAAGTTCTTCTGCGCCTTGGACTAGGTCGCTGCCCTTCAAGCTGCCCTCCCTGGACCCAGGCTCGAGGTGTCCTCGTCTGGCGGGAAGATTCCACGAAATGGCAGGTGTCTCAGAGCCTGCACCTCTGTGCCTCCCGTGTGTCCTTTCTGCCCGTCTTGTCTTTGCGACAGCACTCCATGCCTCCTCACTGCCCGTTTGGCTCTAGATCTGCAGCCCTGCAAATAGGCGGCTCACACGTAGGCTGGCTGGGGCGTCTCATGGGAAAGGAGGCCGGACAAGACGTGATAACAGAGGCCTGCCTCTTCCAGCACCCCCTGCTCGGTTCAGGCAAATGTGTGCGGCTATACGAGCGATGCGGCCCGTTTCCGGCGGGTATGCCGGGAATCATCTTGCCCGGTGTTTTCCCTTGGGAGCTGCCATCGGCTGTGCAGTTGGATTCCGGGAGGGAAGAGGAGCCTTCAATCATCCGGCTCATCCCTGGCCAGCGCCTTCGATCATGCCAGCTGTCATTCCTCTACTCGTGAAATAACGTGCCAGCCGGACGAGACCGATCTCTGGGCTTGAACGCCAGCGTCGCCATTGCTGCTCCGCGCAGCAGAAGCCGGGCGCCTTGAGGCGTGCTTGCGCCAATTGCCAATGGCAAGCGGACAGACGACTGCGACCGAAGTGTCCGAGGCTCTGCTGATGCCCTCACCTCAAGACATCAGACATCCTCACTGCGGATCCGGCCATCTCGGAGCTCTTGGCAGGATCCACAGGTGCTGGGGCTTTGCCGCCGTGGAAGTCCACTGGGGTTACTCGGACACTGGGGTTGACTCGGAAGTCACTTTTGCTCCGCTACCAGTGGAGGGTCGAGGATCGGGACAACCGACCCCAAGCGCGGCAAGCGCCAACTTTAGCAGCTCAGGGATGAAGCCGAGGCTCAGGCCACTGTGGGCTCACCGAGGAAGCTTCACCCGGTTGCGGGCCGATCTCCCTTTCTCCCCGATCCAACGTGAGCCGCGGCAGTCTGCTTGTGACTCGCCTGGAAAGGCTGCAACTGACTCAATTATTCAGGAACGCAGCGTCGAGTGATTCCTGTGAAAGTGTTTCGGGACGAAGCCGCAGCAGCTCCTCCAGTCTCACTCCGGCAGACCAGGCACCACCACTCTCGCCAACGAGTCCAGCATGCATGTCCTCTGGCTGCAGGGTTGCTCGGGCGTTCGCTGTGCACTCTTGCCCATCCTGTCTGACAGCTCGTGTCGCCACTCCTACTCTGCCCTCCCTCAGGTCCTGCACGTTGGACAAGGCAGTGCCGATGATGGCGCACCCTTATGCCTTCCACTGGTCGGAGATGCTTTGTATGTGCGATTTTGCAATTCCTCGTGCTGGCACCTATGGAGCGCAGGGTACCACTCTTGCCGCAGCCTTTGGGGCCGTGTCACTGTACTACTGTGAGATCTTGGGGTGCCCATGGATTCCGCGGCTTGTAAGAAGCCAGCTGGCCGGCAGACTGTCCGAAGGGACGAGCCCACAGCCAAGACCACCGGGAGGATGGATCGACAGCCAGCCTGTCGACGAGTCCTCCTCTAGGCGCAAGCGGCTGCACGTGACTTCCAGGAACATCGGCGAACCGAAGCGAGGCGACTTCACCAAGTCCAGGCCGCTCCAGCTCAAGATCCGGATCTCTTTCAGACACTGGCGCGGCAGGAGCGTTCTCCACCCGGATCGCCCTATGATGTCACCACCCCCTCCTGGATGGCCAGCGGCTCTGAGGCTGACAGCATGGATTTTGCACGCGTCGGGAGGACCCGCCTCCTCCACCACGAAAAAGTGATGTACCCCAGGGACCACCGCCCCCGCAGCCACCTGAATTTAGTTAGGCAGCCACCAAAATTCAGCCATAAGAATTTTCATCTGGGCAGCCGCCAAAATTCATCTGGGCAGCCAACAGAATTCATTTAGGCAGCCACCAAAACTCATCTGGGCAGCCAACAGAGTTCATTTGGGCAGCCACCAGAATTCATCTGGGCAGCCGCCAAAACTCATTTGAGCAGCCACCAAAGTTCACCTGGGCAGCCAACAGAATTCGCCTGGGCAGCCACCCAGTGTCGTCGCTTCGGACGGTTTCCGGCGTCACAGTTTCAGTAGGGCGTACTGACTAGAGCAGTACATGAAGATACCCAGACACCCGAACGTCATCATCCCATGCAGCCAGTATGAGCCCGTAAGGCGGTGCGCAAAGCATCGTCAACACCGAGCCGACTTTCACGGCTCCGGCCACTTTCTCCTGATCCAACTCGACTAGTTTTCAAATCCGATTGCTGCGAGCCGATCCACGTGTTGTATTGATCCACTTCTGTGAGCCGATACACCCTCCAACCGTCGACCACCAAACCAATACACCATTAAACTCGTAAGCCAATCCTTGTCCCCCAGTGGACCCAGGCCCAGCACCAACCCACTAAGCCATTGAACCGTTAAGCCAAACTTTTGCCCCTTTTAGACACCACAAATGCCAATGTTTGGGCAAAAAGGATTATAGTTTAATGCCTTACAGGCCAACAGGATTGGCTTCATGGTTTAATACTTGAGTCTCCCACGCCGTGTAGGCCCAAATGGGCAGGTTCAACTGGTTTATTGGTTTAATTTGCCCCCAAACCCTAGCGCCAAACCCTGAGCAGTAAACCTTAACCCCAGGACTAATGTGCCTGTGCCATCAGAATCAGACAGAATCTAACTTCAATTTTTCGAGAGGTTGGGTGTTTTAGGCAGAATGCCACTGCAGTGAAGCTATGCGTGGACTAGGAGAATAGTTGGTCCCATGAATGCAGCATTTATTCGTTTTTTGAGCAATGAGGCGGTGTTCTTTTAAAAAACATGATTCGCATTTCCCAGGACCATGTGCATATTTCTGCGATTGTAGCGGAAAGGTCATGCTGCAGATATAATGGTCTGACGATGTCTGACCGTTCCAGTACGTGGGGTCTACCGGAGATATGGCAGTCGATGCACCTGTCTATGTACATATTTGGCGAATAGACTTTTACGTGTCTCTCCAACAAGAGTCTTGATAGTTTCAGTGCATAGGGTTTACAAGGGAAAGGCAATCTATGTACACATGTAGGGAATAGGAATAGGGGCTTCGTCATTCACCCCGGCATCATAATGCGGAATATGATGTGGCTTGAAGCGGGGTTACAGTAGTTCAGCAGGTGTTGTCAACTTTGGAGCATCGAGCTACACAGAAAGCTGATATACGATTGACACGTTTCCATTGCAAGGATAGACGGTGCCTTGCAGCTTACAGTTTGGTTAGGTGTCGTCATTTGGTACATAGAGGAACTGGCCGCAATGTTAAGGGATTATTTCCAAGCTTCATACCAAGAAAGTAAGATGATATTGATGATGTGAGCGAGCACTACCGTAGATTGCAACGTAGAAAGTGTTGGATTTCTTCAATTGGTACATCGAAAAGCTTGCAGCAACGCTGTTTCCATTACACGGGGTTGAGCTATGAAACTCTGTCAGGGAGTAACACGTTGTGTCTTTTCAAACTAACCCACTCAATATCATCAGTGAGCGGCCATGATGCATGGCAGTTTATTGCTGGCATCAGCAAGGTTGTAAGGATTATGACTTCCAAGCATTGAGGCTTATAGGAGCACATGTATTTGTGAATATGCACGAAAAGAAGAACATGATCTGGATTCAATGTAAGGACAAGCAAACAGTTTTCAGTTTGCAGACGTGTTGTGCTCCTTCAAATCGGACAAACCAGATGAGGCGGCTCTACGAGATGGCTCTGGTATGCTCATAATACAAGAATCAGAAGCACAAGTTTCACCAGTAGAGGCAATATGCAACGTTTGCCAAACGTGTAACGTGCATGTTTTCAGTTTTGGGTAATGGTCATAAGGATTTATAAGGAAAACTACGGAATGAAGGAATGCGGCACCTAAATGCCCGAATGACTTGGATATATAATCGTGTAGGGGCAGAAGGATATGTTACAGAGAGCTGTAGAGCGCCAACTCTCCGTAGCCATGATTAGTAAAACAGAGACTCCAGAAAGATTGCCGCACTACAATACAAGTATGGAAAACTTGTAGTTCAAGACTTCTGTTCGCCTGAGGGAATCAATGAGAGAGACCTTTAAAGACTAAAGGCATTCAAAGCGCATTTGCCCTTAAATGGCACACTCCTGCACATTTTAACAGGGTCTCCATGGGGTTGTTGTAGAATTCCTAGCGCGGGTTGGACTTCAGCCCGTCAGCTTCTGAAGCTATGGTTTATCAGAATGATAACCGCAAACAAGCAGATTTTGCAACACTGGGCCGCACCTTTAACACTTCTGTTGGACAGTATGCTTTGCCCCATTGCCCCGATTGAGCATGGACATTTGCCGGGCTAGTTCCGGGACTGTCTTGCACGGATGGTGAGGAACGCGACGAAAACATAGGCTTCGTAAAAACATGATACGAGCGGGAACGAGCTGTGTGAGAAGCATCCATAACCATCCTTACAAACTTAGATATTGAGGATTGATGTTGTGTTTGATTTGGACAGAGACATGCGAATCCGCACTGGTTCATATGAAGGGCTTGACAACTTTGCCTGAGTTTGTAAATTCACATGGGTTTCAAGCCCCATTGCAGGTTTCACAATAGTACAGCAGTGCAGAAATGCAGGGGGCGGGATACTACGCAGCCCATGTATATAGATATACATACGCATAGAGTCATAGAGCCACGGCGAGATATGAGCATGTCTACATGCGTACAAGTGTACATGCATACATGGACAAATGCATACAAACGCGCATCTAATCAAGGGCATTGCTGCTGTTGTATCCGTTGGGTTCTGTGGGGTCCACCGCCTTCCGAGCATGCCGGAGACAACAGGATTCACTCTCCCAATTTCAGGCTCGAGCGATGGATGGCGCGGCAGCGCCTCCGTCGAGGGCTGCAGACGGTCCTCAGGGAACGTGCGTAGTATGGGCTTGCGCAGGGTTCTTGCATGTAGCAGCTTCCCTGAGAGGCACTTGCCTCGCCCTTCCGCGCGGAGTTTGATGTGGTCGATGATTTTGGCCCGGAACTTTCGCAATCTTCATCTAACGCCGTGGAAGGCAGCCCTGATGTGTCTGGCTGTGCGAGCCGACAGCGAACAAAGAGCTACATGCCTAAGAGCTATCCTTCATGGAAATGATTGAGTGTGTAGTGTTGGTTCCCGGGTGTCGTTAAATTCACCAAAGAAGCGCGGGATCGGCTGCATGTGCGGTTTCGATGTCCTAAACCAGTACTCCCTGTCCTGCGGGGTTTGATTGTCCGCTGGCGCTGCTGGCCATCAATGCCACAACGGGGTATAACATGTCCAAAGCTGCAAACTTCCTTTCCAGCATCGGCGTGCCATGTGTTTCGCCATGTAGATGCTAGACCATCGTTGCTTTAAGGCTTGGGTTTACCACCGCCACTGTCTGCTTCGTTGGGGTTTGCTGTGCAGCACTCAATCTGCCAGCAGGGTAAAGGGGTCTGCTAGTCAGTCATCATTCCGACACCTCTTCAGGTAACATCCAGGTCAAACTTGCCCAGTCAGACATGTCTTTTGCCGGTCTTGTTTGTTCTCGTCGCCCCTTTGAGGTTCTTTTTCTGTGCAGTTCATCAACAGCGGAAACTTTTCCCAGGAGCAACTCGCACCTAGGCTTCACTCATTCCAAGGCGGTTGCAGTTGCAGGTTTGAGGCTTGGGGACTGCTTAGGCCTGTGCTTGTGACTTCGTGCACGTGAGTCCTGTGATGTGTCTCTTTCCTATGTGTGTAGCATTAGTCCGACATGGCTTTGTACGTGCAATTGCTTTTGCATCCCGGTTGTACTGAGTCATTGTGGCAGCGAAAGGGGCTCGATGTGTTTGCTCAAGCGCGTTGTCAAGGCGAGTTTTAAAGAGAAGCTGCCGATCCTGCTCGATGCGCGACGTGGCCTCCTGGCGCAGGAGGCGGAAGATGATGAGGAGATTTGGGTCAAGCGTCAATCGTGCCCACCAAGGAATCTCCACACCAGCAATTCGCAGGGATCTTGTAGGGTTTCGCGGACGACTTGCAGTTTCAGATTACAGAGTTTCCATCGGGTCTAAGTTTGGGAATGCATTGAACCTGCGGGACTGGACCGAGACGGCCGAGACTATTTGTAGGACGAAACCACCGTCGCGCCACGCACAACCCTGAAGCCGACGCGAAGAAGCAACGTGTTGCCGGAAAAACCCACGTGATGCTTCTAGCTTGGCTGTTTCTAGGCTCGTCGAAAGCCTCCGACATGGTGATGGACCAGTCGCGATAGCACATGACGGCATTGTTATCCGACTTTCGCTGGTGCGTGTGTGCGAACAGACGGGCTTTTGATTGCATGGAAAAGCTTGTGCAACACAGAGTGGACCAGCAAAAGCACAGTCGCGATCGCACACGACAGTCCATTCAGCACTTCGTGAGGAAGCACGATGTCAACAACGAAGCAAATGGGTCGACAGGATGTAAAAGCAAATGTGGCCGCCCTGGGTCCTAGCCAAAGTTGCGGTCGGCTGTGACGGATCGTGTAGATACTCATGGTTTGGGATCTCATGCCTTAGCCACGCCGGAAGGCCACACCTGCCGAGGAGACGCAAGCCAGGAAGGATTGTTGTAAGCTGGGCCAAGCAAGGGCAAGCCAGACTCAGACCGCCGCCTCTCAGCGTATGTGCAATTGCAAAAAACTGGTTGCCGTCATGGTGGCCCAGGGCCGCGGACTGATCCTCACAGGCTGGGTCTGGGTCACGGCATGATCATAATGTCATAGCTGACAACGAAGCACTGCATCTGGGGGCAACTCCGCCCTTGAGGCTTTGGCCAGAACCCGCCTTTGACTTGACGCGGATGACACACCCATCCTTACCCAGGCACTCACTGAATATCGGTGCTGCTTCGTTCGCAAGCTGGCCGCAACAGCATTCAACTTGCCGAGCAGACGAAGCAGTCAATCAGCTGACCCAGACTGCTACCATTCGAGTTTTCGGGCTGCCTGCCACACTGGGTTCGTCCTGCCTGCGTGTCGAGTGCAACCACCTGCATTCGAAGGAGATTCTGCAGGAGCACTTTGAGCTCCACATCCGACGCAGTCACATACTCGAGGACAGTTGGGAAGCTTTGCAGGAGGCTTGCATCTGCACAGGGCTTGCCGAGACTCTGCCACGAACATATTTTGAGCAGGGTGCGTGCAAGTACTGCAAAGGCAGCTTATTTGGAGCTCCTAGCGCCCAAGCTACGCATCGAGTATGCAGGCAGGGCTTTTTAAGCGCTGAGAGTTAAAACACGCGACTGAGTCGTCAGTTTCAGTACCGGGCATAGGCGAACAGGCTCAAGATCAAGGTGGAGTCGCGCAGGCGAGTATTGCTTCAGAGCTATGTCCGTTTCTGCTGCAAGCATGTCGACTGTACCAAATCATGTTGGATGACGTTCTCCCATCTCTTCCCATCTCAGGATTGGTTCTGCGGCGTTGGTCATGCACTCGCTGCAGATGCAGGTGTTCGCTTCATGTCAAAGTCGCCTGAAACGTTCGGGACGTGGCTGTTTGTTCGATGCCAAAACCAAGGGGATGGAGAGTGGACAAGCCCCCTTCCCGCCCCAAACAAACGGGTCTTTTTGAGTCAAGAGGGCCGACGTCAGGCAGCGACGAGAGCGCTTCCATTCTGACAATGGGCGCCAGCAGCAGGAGCTCCGAGCTGCACTCGCGCCGCTCGCGCCGCTCGCGCCCTTGCGCCTGAAGAGATGGCTTTGGCTTTCGCAGCTTTCGCATCGACGAGGATGCTGATCCCACGGCCAGTGCACAAGGAGGCTGACATGGCCGAAGTGGCCGAAGGCCGCTGCCGATGGCCAAGCATGGCCAAGCATGGCTAAGCCTTTTCGACTCCCATCCGCGCCAGGGCGCTATCGCGATCTTTTCGTTTGTGGGCGCTTCCTTGCCCTGGCAACACTCCATGGAGGTGCGATATTTGGCTGCCTTTCAGGGCTCCTGAGCCAGTTCTCTCTATTTTATACTTTGACTCCACGGGCTTCGTGTTAGTGTGAACTTGGGCCATGGGAGCTTCAGAAGAAACTCTTTCTGATCGAGTGATGCCGCGACCTGCCACCATGCGCAAGTCGCATAATTCATCGCAAGGACAACTCTGCAGACTCTGCATGCCTCGCTGACATGCGAGGTCGGCCTTTGCCGATGCCACTGTCACCGCGCTTTGTCTCGCACATGCGAAGCCCGCCTTAGGCAAGGACACTCTCCCAGCCATCTCTTCACTTCACCTGTGTTGGCATCTCAGGTTCGTTTGCAAATATTTGGTTGGAGCTCCTGTGGAGCTCTCCGACATGAAGCTTGGGACTTCAAGTCTAAAGTCTAAAGAGCTTCCTGCGCCGTCGCGTGCTGACATAGAGCTGGGAGATCTGTGAGGGCTGGTACTGCTTCGTCTCTGAATCTGATCACAATGTCACCCCTGTGCCCTCGCTTCTCAGGAAGCTCCTGGACAGTGATTTCTATCGACAGCGGGCAGTGGGCTCGGCCAGCAGGCAGGAGCTCTTGGCACAGCAGGATCAGCCCCTGAGGTGGAGCCGCTCCTAAGCCCGGACGGTCTGGAAGAGGCAGGCTTTTCTGACCTTTGGAATCTTGTGGGTGCTCTGAACTCACCACTGTCTCGCAGCATGAGTGGTCGTTATTGCTTTCAGTTCTCGGGCTGCCTAGTTCTGGAGCTTGTCATGCTTTTCTGATCTCCCTCAACAATGAGCAAGAAGATCCGTCGAAAGCACTTCTGTGGTCAGGAACGCCGACTTGTTTGTACAGCTAAGCACACTGAGTTGTGGCCTGCTTTCTGTCGGTCTTTTGCTGAGATGTGCTTTGGTTCGCAGGTTGAGGCAGCTCTGGGCGAGCCCTTGACTTTTCTGTCCCCCGGCCCGGAACGGTTGAGAGAGAGCTGTGAGTGGCGCGTCTGCGCGTGCCGCACGCTTCCGTTCAGGTCTGTGCCCACGGAGCTCCGACCTGCCGAGGCCATTCCAAGAGCAGCCGCCTGCGGAGAATCCGAATCCGTGTGAGACTCTTTTGGAGGAGCTGGAACCCGGCGGAGCCTTCCGCAAGGTGACCAAGGAGAACCTGCACAGGCCCCGTCGAAGTTATGGCGAGATCAGAGTCATGTGATGTCGGCCAGGTATCTTGTCCTCCTCTGTGAGGCTTTCCTTTGCAGTGAGCTCCGGGAAGAGCTGCAGCAGCACGGCTACATGGGAACTGCCTCCACCATGTTCTTAACTGAGGAAATTCCTGCAACGCCCTGCGTGCTAAGGTGCTTGGTGCAAGGTTTCTGGGATGTCTTGCCGCTAGAAGCCTTGAGAGCAGCACGCCTCGAGGCAGTACACCAACATTTTAGAGAAACTTTCTGGTTTCTGAAACGCTTTGCAAGGCCAGCGACCTCGCCATCTTGCTTACAGGGTCTTGCGGAGTGGTGCCTCGATGCAGCACAGGGGGGAGGGAGGGTTCCCTCACTTTTTTTGTCAGCAAACTTGCGCTGCAAGGACCTTAAATTGGGGTTCATTCGTGTCGGGCTGGAGCCTCGACGGTCCCACCTACCACCCCTGGCATCACCCGGAGGAAACCTCTAGACTCTAGCTTCTGGCTAGCTGACCTCTAAGGTGGGTTGGGTGGGCACTCTGAGAAATCAACCCCCGAGGGCGAAAGGTTCGAGCCAAAAGGCGATGGTATTCTGTCCCATTCGTCAAGTCGATGTTTTCTAGCAACGGTTTTGGTTAAATTGCACCCTCCCATGTGGTTGTGGGTAAGGTGCAACCCTTGTGTTATTCTGTTAGTAGTTGCCGCTCAAAGTCAACGCGTGTTTGTGACAAGGTCGCGAAGCTACCCATATCACCAATCAGAACACTGCAGAAACTTTGCATGTGCAAAGCAGATCAGGAGATCAGCAAAAATGAAGCCATGACACGTGGTTTCAAGCCGCGTTAAGTCTGCTATGGCAACCATTGATCGTTGGACAGTGCTTACGTTGTACCATGTCTTCAGCAGGTAGCTTTGTCGCTGCATCATTGATGGGGTTGAATGTTGTACATCTGTTTTCGATGCCACTCGCCGCGTACGTAGTCGCATGTTGCTGTCAACCTTGGAAGACTTTTGGTCAAAAAATCGCGGACCATGGAACGGTCTTGTAATTGTATGAACGAAATGATTTTGACGACACGTTCAATGCATGACTTCTCCTGCAGAGCCTTTGCTTGTGTGCGCGTCCAGCGAAACACGAGCTCAGTTTAAGATGAAACATGCATACTTAGGTTTGACCGTCAAGGCTTGACATGGGATTGCTGGATTTCATTTGCATCCAGAGATTTATCTCCGCTTTTGCTGTAGTTATTAGGTACCATGCAACCTAGTGCGAGAATGCCGTACTGTTCCCAAAGATACACATCCAATCTTGGGAGACTACATAGCGTCCAGAAACCCAAAATACAGTTTCAAAGCATTTTTGGAATCGTGTTGTTTTCACCCAGAAGTGCGGTACACGCAATGGAGTTCTTGCGTTCAGTGTACGGTTAGTGCCGAATCCCGCTGGTGGTCTCGTCGTGGTCGATGATCCCCTGTCGGTCTACTTGTAGTCTCTGGGTTGCTTTTGGGGTCTCCTGATGTCTCCCGTTTCTCAGTGTTGTCGTCCTCTTAGTCGTTTCAGCTCTAAAACTGTTTGAGATATCTGGCATATTGGGACAGTGCCACACTTTTGGCTTTCAGGATGCAACCTCGCGGTATTGATCTGTCTTGTCTCCAATAGTCAGTTTGATTTTGGGACGGTACCACATGGTCGAAGACACGTGGCTGAGGATGTAGGCGAATGGCGCCGGTACAGCGACCAGGAGGCAGATGCAGGCACGGATTGATGTCAAACTGATGTGCTTGCAGAGTTTCAGGGGAGTTTAGCTTTATCACGCAGCTGCCAACATGCTGGAGCATCCACAGTGAACTTCTTCAGGCCCTGTGATCTCCTGGTTCTGGGAGATCGTGGAAGACACTCAGCTGCACCCAGTTTGCCACTCCCCATGAAGCAAAAAGGGGGGAGAAAGCCTCCCAGCCTTCAAAACTAGGAGATGACGGAGGATCTCCGGCGGCAGCTTCTGCGTCACTTGGCACTCTGTGCGACGTCGGGTTGTGAACGAATGTGATGTCATGTCTACTTCTAGTTGGGGGACATCCCCCGTCGCCCGAGGCTTCGCTACTGGCAGTGCTCGACTGTTGCTTGTCGTTTTCAGTAGCGTGCAGCGTGCAGTGTCTTTCGACACAAGTTGACCGGAGATTCGCAGGGCTCACCCCTGGGCAACGCTGAGGCCGCCAGGTGGCTTCGCAGCCCTGAAGCCTCGCTTCGCAGTGGCCCGTGGGGGGACAAAGGGAAGCGCTCATTCTGTCAGAGTCCGTGGCCTACCCGATCAGGCCATGTCTTCTGCTGGCTCGGAAGAGCACCTCCCACACGCTCCTTGGACTTCCAAGGAGACTGTCATTCAACCTCCGTTGCAGTTTGATTGAAGGGCAGTGGCAGAGTTGCTGGAATGCCGTATTATCATGCAGCAAGTCGCTCTCCCTGTCCGCAAGGCGCACACTTGCATCAACCAGATTGTGCTGCACAGGTGCGCAAGCCCAGAATTTGCTTGCGTCAACCGCCATCAGACGTGATATTGTCGAAGGTATTCTTCCAAGGAGAAGCTGCGGTGCAAGCTGGGCAAGGCGTTGCCAACAGAGAGCTTTGGATTTGCATAGGGCATAGACCGAAAGAGGCACGGCATGTGTGGCACAATGCAGAAGTGGTGCGGCTTCCAGCAGCGAGCCGCATGTTGTGAAACTATGTATGCTTCTAGTTATCCACGTCCTAGCATCAGCTTCCTTGCTGCTGCTTCTGCACATGCTTTGACCTTCGAGCTGCCCAATTCACGGACAGATGTTCGCCAGCATGCGTTTACCGGTAGCTTGTTGTTCATGTGGGAGAGAAAGAGCTCAGCCCAGCCCTTACAGATTTGCAGCTGTCTCAGAGATTTTAGTTGGCTCTTCCGCAGAACAAGAGGCTAACCCCATAAGGACTTCGTAAGATCGTAGAGAAGTTACCCAGCGCACGACACTGCGACGAAGTCCTTGCTTCTTCCACGGTTGTTTGCTCGACATCCTTTTTGTGAGATCCGGTGCTTGTCTAATCTGGATGCACTTTCACTGCAGCGGATGTTGCACAAACGACGGTTGCGAGCTGTGCGGCTTGAAGCAGCCTTTGGCGATGCAAACACGCATTGCAGTAGAGAAAGGCGCGCTGCCCTTCAAAGTATGTTAGCTGTGGTCCTGCCGTGGCCGTGGCACGCCGTGGCCTGGTCGGGCCTTGCAGACTTGGAAGTCAAGCAGTCAACCTCCTCGAACCCAAAGTTTTTGCAGGCGGTAGTGAGTATCTTCGGTCTTCATCTGGTTGATTGGTGGCTTTGGCATTTGGCGGACAAACCTGATGTCGCGCCTTTGGCATCCAGTCACAAGCAGGGCCACAACTAAGGGCTTCACCCTGTTTGAGTGGTGATCAGTTTGCCACTGTTATACAGTACAGCTTTCCCGCACATCTCAGAATTCGTCAAACCAGAAGGCCAGTGGGTTCAATGTCTAGTGGCAAAGCAAGATCAGGATGCTCAGTCAGTGTGTGTGTGTGTGTGTAGGGCATGTGATCACGATCGACGATCATCCTTCAGCATTGTTCGAAGCTGCAGTTGCATTTTGGCAGACGAGCATACTTCCGACTTCTGAGAACATCCAGCTGGGCGGGTGTTTTGGATTGCTTTTTAAGTCGCATCACGCCTGACTGATAAATCAGGGGGAATCCCTTGATTTGGAGCAATGTTCGCAGCGGCAGCCTCGCAACGGCAGTTGCCAAGAGGCATGCCATAACAAAACAAAAGAAAGGTCCAGGGTAAGAGTGAATGGCTAACCCTCGTTGACGGCAGCATAGCTGCAGATGAATCAGGAGGCATGCCATGCCCATTGCGGTCAGCTTCCGCCACACAAGCTGTGCATGACGGTGTTGCAAAACGTTGCTCTGTTTATATACTTCTGACCGTGGTCGGGATGAGAGTGATACTCTTGCTTGTAGCCTAGGCTGCAAGACGGCTTGCTGCAGCCTGTTTGTTTGTTTGTTTGTTAGGCTGGGATTTGCAGCAGCAACCCTGGCCATGACCGTGCGTTGGAGCATTTCTCATTGATCTCTCAGCAGCTACATGCAGCAGCACCTGTTGGTTTTCGGGCAGATATACCGGCACATGAAGTGTAAATTACATGCAGTATGCAGGCCGACGTGCCGAGTCACGACTCGGGTTTCCTTACATAGCAGGTGATGATAGAAACTCAGCCTTCTGCGACATAGGGAGATCGGATGCACCAGGCGAGGCAGAGGTTCCTTCGCAGATGGCGTAAATGTGAGAGATAACTTCGATCGGCTGTCATGTTAAGAGGCCAAAGCCAGCTGACAAGAAGGCTGAGTCTAAGGAGGGTGTTGTTGGAGTGTGAAAGCGGCGCGGAAAAGATCAAGCCTTGTGACGACAGCGCAAACTCTGCACGTTGCATCTGAAGAGCTAAGTTGCAGCCGCACTGTGCACTGCCAGGGCTTCAACTGCATGCTCAAATGCACCAAGGCGGCCGAGCAGGTCGCTATTGCACTCAGCACGGCAGACTTACAGTGACAACGATCGGAAATGTTTGTTTGCTGAGACTTTCCGAAGTTATCTCACCTACCCCCCCTAAACTTCCGGTGTCCCGGCCCGGTTTTGAGAGGCTTGGTGGCCTTTGGGGGGGATGCGGGACACGGCAGCTTCCAAAAGAGACATTGTGAATCACCGTTGGCCAATGGAAATGAAGTTCCTGACCTGAGACAAGTTTCAACACGTCCCCGTTTCGATTTCCCAGGTAAACAAAGCCCCTAAATAGCACGCCAGGCGCGCGAGTTAGGTCCCGACCCCAAGCCGTGCTGCGGTCGAAGCCGTGTTCTGCTTGGCCTTGAAGGTCGAAGGCACCGAAGGCGTTTGGGAAGCCACCTGCGGCGACGATACAGGCGCAAATGTCTGCAGGATGCACCGAACTACTTCAGCCATCAAGTAAGTTCTCTGGTATTGAGGCGAGGTGGCTTCGTGGTAAAAGCAGCATCTCATAAGCCACGGTTCTGGCACTCACTCTGCCGAAGTGTGGCCAGGCGTCGTCACGATTTCCTTCCGAAACAAGGCCTGTCCGAAGTCGACATATCTCAACGGCCAGCCGTGGGGCATGCCCTTCTTGTAACACTTCTGCAGTGCTTCGCCCATTGGCCTGTATCCAACATGCACAACACTTCGTCAGGACGTGGCCGAGGTGTGCAAGGTCGGTGCATCGATCAGGACCTACTGTGCGGCATCTGGTGAAGCTCATCTTTTTTGAGTGTATTCACAGCCTGATTGCCCGGCAACGCCAGGATGCAGAACACTTCAGTGAGGATGGTGAAGGGCTACATTCGAGTTGTCGTTGACAAGTGCGAGCCCCTGCGTTGAAGCTCCATTAGCTGGACGGCAAAGGGTCCCAGGAGCGCCAAAGGGTCCATGATACTCTGATACTCGGAGCTTGAGGTGGGCTGCTTTCAAGCCCGCCGATGAAGCCTTGGAGTTCGAGGCTGCAGGAATTGCAAGAATCATCCGGTTCTTGTCTAACAAAGCATGGTAGCTTAAACTGCATCAAAACGGGTTTTTGCTGGCCAAAAGTGTTCCTTGATGATGTGCAGCTGCGAACTGCAGTGCTCATGCATCATACCACTTCGAAGTGCAGCATTTCGCCTTCACAGGCGAAAGTATCGAACGACGTCTCCGGTGTTGAGTATGAGCTCGTGGCCACTCGTAGGCAGCAGGAATGCTTGTTTCTGTGCGTAGGACAGGTTGAATCTTGCAGAGCTGCGCAACCAAGGAATCCTGAAGTGGCTTGAAGCCGGCCGAGAAGCATCTAGCCGATCTAGCCCAGCTAGCCAACATGCTGAAATCATGCTATCAGGTCTTTGACCGTTTTACTGTACATTTTTTTGTATGCCAAGCTCTTCTGCAACAAGTACAGGTCAGCCTTTGGCATTGAGAACACTTGCATTCAGCGAAACTACATATGGGGCATCGTGCTTTTTATTTTTGACAATTTTTGCTGCAAGCTTGAATGAGGGGCTTGGCATGCCACACAATGACCGGACCCCGCAATCCAATCTGTGTTGCAATCCTCTGTATCGAGCCGTGGAGAGACATACTGAAGGGACCGACTGCTGGCTGCGCATCCAAGCCCCTAGATTGGCAGAAGACTGCCCAGTGTTGGTTCTGCAGCCATTGCGCTGATAACAGTGCCCCAAGCGACGGCCCAACAGCCAACACTACGGAGCTGTGTCTCTACGGAGTCCAGTACTCTATGGAGTCAAGTACTGAACCATGATGCCTCAGGCTTTATAAAGGGCCAGGCTCCACACATACTACCTGCCAAGGACTTCCATCCGTTTGGGGCAGCTTGTCAAGATAAGATTCAGGAAACAGCCGCTTACTCGGCAGTGCCAGCATTCCGGGCAGGCACCAAGGGCGTCCTACGTTCTGATGTCTACCGGTAGTCTGGAAGCTGCTTATGTCCAGAGATTCCATGCCTGACTCAGACTCGTTCCCTCTTGTAGTCATGTAGTGAATGGCAAGGGAGCACGTCGGAAATCTTGATCTGATGCATGCAACAATCCTGAGGAACGAGTCGATGGGCTTTCGACTTCGTGGTCTGATCTGCTAGTGAAAGACCAGCATCACTTTGCCTTGTAGCAAAAAGACAAGCCCAGAAGTCAACAGGATAACACCCTCGTCCTCGTTGGCGCCCATGTGCACGACCTGATACTGGTACTGTAATGCCTTAGATGCCACCAGCTGCGAACTGAGCATCATCATGTTGCCTAGATGCCGCACGGACTCAACTCCGATTATCAGCGAAATATGGAAATATGGACAGGATCTGATCTCAAGTTTGCAGAGTTATGTGATTTCAGTTCCTTCAGCCCATCCTCAAAGAGCACACATATGATCGCGGTTCCTTGGTTCGCCGAGCCCCCCCCGCCTAGGTCCAACGAGGATCTCGTTCCAAACACACCCGATCCTTGTGACAGTGGACACTTCCTGCCACGACTCCGGCATGAGGGTATAAAAACTGCAGCTATCACAAGGATCGCGTCCTGACAGGCCCGCTTCCTGTGACAGTTGACGAAGAAAGGAGCAGCTTGATGATGATGTAGATAATGATGATGATGGCCATGATCATGACCAACCTCCCGGGCACAAGGATACCCCGAACTACACCACACCGCAGCCCAAGCAGACCCGAACCCAAACCGCAGCACACCACAGGGCGGGAGGAATGCGGGAGGGGAGGCCACACCGCAATCATATATTGTGTTCTGTCTCCTCGTTGAAGCTTTTGAAGCCTTGGCAGGTGCTTCAAGAGCGGGAGGTGTCCCTAGCCAAGGAGAAGCAAGTGCAGGTGCGAGTTCTTCTCCAGTGCTCGACCATCACTACAAGTGGACATGAGGAAAACGCACTACGGGACGTGACGAAGGCGACCGATGTAGAGGCAATGCAACATGTCGGGTCTTTGGGTGAACAGTCGGCAAAGGTGCAGACGCTAAAGTAGTCGTGACAACATGTGACGACTTCCGACAGGTGGCCGGGTTGCGGCTCAGCGAACGCGCAGGCTGGTAGCACTTGGCTCAGCCATTTGGAGATATGCCTTGCGTAGCAGGTCGCCTCGCGACGAGAGAGAAGCGCATTGCGGAAGATGAAGCTGCGCGCTGCTCACCCAGACGTCTAGGCAGTTTGCCCCACGGTTTTCAGCGCTCAGGAGCTGTTAAAGCGGGAGCGCGACTTGGCGGCCAGGGAAGCAAAGTGCTGACCTCGGACGGTTCAGGGGCCCCAGTCAGGTCTGCCTAAATTGCTCTCCTGCTGCGTTTGGCTCAGGCTGGAGGCCCGGCAAGAAGAGGTTGCCGAGGAACAAAGGGGACAAGCAGACTATCTAAGTTGACTACAAGGTTTGCTGCACGGCCGCGACGATTGTGTCTGTGCTGTGTTTGCAGGCTGAGTCCCGAAACATGCACGAGTTCGCAGCCAGGAGGCCTCATCTACCCCACTTCCCCTTGCACAAGACACCGCAATTGAAGAGAAGAAGCGCGCAACATAGTGCAATCCGCTGAGAGGCGTTCCGTCGAGCAGAGAGAGCTACGAGCAGCCGAGCTCGAGAGTCGACTGGCGGGGGGCCCTGCGCCCTTTGCTTTCACTTGTGCTGCACGCAGTTCCGCCACTTCCGCTTCGTGAGGCATGGTTTCAAGACACAGGTGCAGCCCTCCCATTTCGCGACTCTCGAAGCTGAAAGAGAGATGCGTTTGCAGGCTCTGGCAAGAAAGGGAGTTCTTCCAGGTGAGGGCTAGGGCAGCCAAAGCTTGCGGTGATTTTAGGGTTTCGGAGTTCTGCGGGGCCGGCGGAGTCCCGGAGGCTCTGGCAAAAGGCCGAGGCAGAGCCGCGCCCCGAGCAGAGGCCGGAGCCGGAGGAGAAGGCCCTGCGCTGCCTGCGCTGCCTGCGCTCAGCCGCTCAGCCGCTTGTCGTGCCGTGCCGGCATGCCATGTCAAGTCTGCCGCCTCTCCGCCTCTCCTCTGCTCTGCCCCGTTTTTGGCCTCTCTACAGTCTCGCCACGCTGTCGCAGAGAGCGGTGCAACGCAGTAGCTAAGTACAACGACGAGAGAGTGCGATGCAGACAGCTTGCTTCAACAGTTATGCAGGTCAAGAGTTAAGCTGTCAACTCAATCCCGGGCGTACGGTTTAGAGGTGCAGGGCATGATCCGTGCACCTTGTTGAGGGCATTTTCGGATCTGTGGAGTCAGAGGCACTGAGGGCTGCAATAACAACATGATGTTCATCGTCGCATGGATATTTGTTGAACTTTCCATTGGTCTGACGGTCTGAAGTTTCGCCCTCCTGGCTGCACTTGTCCACAGACATGCGACCTTGCCATAGACGGCCGATGCCCATACATGGACCCTGCCTCTCGCATGCAATCTCTCACTCCGGTCTCGGCCTCAAGGTTTCATGTGACCCACACTTCGATTCTGTTCCCTCCTGCATAGCTCCTGCGTGGCTTGCTTGTTGTGGGGGAGTGGGACTTCCCTCTGCATTCCGATGCAGCAAATCCCATACAGAGATGTGGTGGCGAACTCACGATGTGGCACGTTGGGCAGGCGATCCTCCAGCAGAGAGTGATGGCTCTGTTCCACCCAAGCCCCGAGGACAGGCAACTTCGCTTGCATTCAGTTCCATGATGGCGATTGCACCGATTGCTGCGAGGAGAAAGCGACAGTAGAAGCAACCAAGCAACCGAGGTACATGCAGCAGAGCTCAGAAACCCATCGTTGTGATTTGTGCCTGGTTCTGCGAGGCCATCTGCGGCGCCAGAGCTTGTGGGGATGGCAGGTGTCCGAACGCCAAGCGTGACATGCCCCGGTGAGGCCGGGATCATCTGAACTTTTCCACAATGACGAAGAATTGGGAGCCCGAGCTACTGCAAACTGGACTTCGAGCACGGAAGCACGGAAGCCCCCAGCAGGGCTGAAGATGGAAGTTCAGCAAGACACGTTGGTCTTTTGCCAGCTGATAGCATTGCAGAAAGTGGAAAGTCGGATCATCGATACTGTAGAGCTTCCATGTAACAGTCGGCAAGGATGAAGTCCGCAGACGATCTAGAACCCGGGCGAATGTGTTGGACTTGTCTGATTTAATGTCGGTGTGTTCCTCTGATCCTGGAGTGCAGTCCAATGCATACTTCATACTTGAAATCGCTGATTATCCTGATCTTCGTTGGTGGCGGCTGGTTTTATCATGTCTGTTCGTGCTACGTCTGTTTAAGGCTAGGGGTTCCAGCGCGCCTTCGCCATTTCCCGATGATTGCACGGCCCTGCGATCCCAACTATTTCGTTGTTGTGTGTTGAATCGTCGAAGCGCACGGCTGTGCTTTTCGCTGCGAGACTGCTTGCCAATTCCTTGTAAGTATACAGAGTTTCTTGGTTTACAACTCCACCAACCATGTGGGATGATCAAAGTTCTTGCTTTCCCGTTTCTTGTCGTGCGGAAGACGTGAGCAATCGGCCCGAGCAGAGCCCCGAGAGTCTCGTGCGATTTGCACGAGGGCGACTGCTCGTACAATCATTTCCGTCGCGATCTTCGAGATGCTCCGCGAGAAGGTGTGGTGCATTCCGCATCGTAGCTGACACTGAGGCTAAGCTAAACGACACCTTCACACGCGCCAGAGCCAAGCGCCTCTAGAGGGAAGGCTGTGGCGCCTTCCGCACCGCCCTCCGCGTGCCAAGAGCAATGTGCTTTGCTGGAGCGCCTTCGCTCCGAAGGGTTCCGCTTTTCTGCCGACGACCGATAAACCCACGTGGACCGCTGAGGCTTTGCAATTCGTTTTCCTCTTCGCACGATGCAGAGTTTGTGCCTGTCGAGCGAACGCATTTAATACGTTAGGTTGGTTTGTAAGAGTTTTGCACGTATTAACAAGTGGTGAAGATCCTTTGGTATTCCGGTGATACCGCGTGTTCGAGCTGGTCTGCGCCAACGCCCGCTGTGCATGTGAGGTTCGCGGCGCCTTTGCAGTTGGATGCCTTCCGCAAGCGGTTTGAGAGCTTCCAAAGATTGTTGTCGATTTTTTTGGAAAACCTGTTGCAGGCTCCCTTTCCCGGGAGTTCTCGCAGCAACTGGAACAGCCGTGCCCCACTGCCCTTGCATTTGGGCTGCGTGCTTGCAGACTGCTGCATCGCCTAAGTTGAGGCTCGAGAACCAGTTGATCCTTGAAGTCTTGAGCGTCAGTTATCCTTGTCTTTTTCTATGGCCAGGGCTGTCGTGGATCCTCACCCCGCCCAGCACAGCTTTGTCGACGGTCTTAACGTCGTTTCAACCTGCTCTGCTCAGCTCTTTTTCCAAGACTCGCGATTCGAATCCATGGCCAGCACCGATGCCGAGCCGCGAGCCCTTCCTCCCCTTCACTCGCGGCATCAAGGCTGTAGCACAACGGAATAAATGCAGTCATGCTTCTTGGTCACATCATGGCAATGTGTGATCGGCCGTTTGTTTGCTTGTCGGGTCGTTAGCAGAAGGAATCGTTTTAAACGTTAGTTCCAAGATTGTTCATCCCGCTAACTTTATCGACGACGCCCCTAAAGCTATTTCTATGCGAGGTTTGTACGCTAGGTCAAGGAATCCCCGTCCTGCCTAAGGATGGTGTGGGTTTGGGTTTGGGTCTTGGTTTTGGTTTCAATCCCTCCTGATTGGGTTTGGTTGGGCCTGTCTCCCTATATGTACACGTCAATGGACTTTGGGGCCAATTTCCAGATTTGTTCAATCCTCCCTTCTTCCTGTACCTGCTCCCATATGGCGATATATGGCGACGTCAAGATCCATGAAACGATGCCAGTCACGAGGATCGCGACCCCATGTTCGCGACGTCGTCATCGTCATCATCGCCCCAGCATTGTGATAGTGGTGTTTTTGTTCAGGCATCTTGGCGACATGCATGTCCACAGACAGCAGCTGTCACGAGGATTGCCCCTCCGGCCTGTCCAAGCCCTTCTTCATCCCTGTGAAATGTTGCCAGATTTGACACATTCCTGCCAGGCCGCAGTCCAAAAGCGCAACCTGTCACGAGCGCGAGGGTCCTTGCTCCGTAGGGGGTCGCCTGACTTTCTATCCCCCTATCTTCGAGAACCCGCAGGAGTGGAAACCCAAATTTGGACAGCAATGCATGTTTTCCACAACAGATGTTGACTTCTTTTTGGGCATGGGGTTGCTCAGAGGGTGCGGGTTGTCCCCGGCGAATCACGGAACGCCATCGGCGCAGGATTGTTGCATCGCAGGACCAAGCTCGGTAGTCGTATATCTCGGTCCGATTCCTTTCAGCAGTGTGCGGGCACTGCAGCATGGGTGCAGCGATGGCCGGCCTTCCAACCTTTGCGGCTGCCAGGCCTTTGCTGCTGCGGTTGCTGCTGCTGCTGCTGCTGCTGCTGCTGAAAAAAGCTCGGCGAGCAAGGCATTGGCAGTCCACCCATATCCACCCGGTGGCAATCGCATGCCTGCCTGCGGGAGGCCATGGCGTACATGAGTGTCGGGCTGGCATGAGCCGGTTTGGTCAGACAAAAGTCGCATCAGGGAAGTGTGCTCCATGCCAGCCAGTAGCATGGCCGGGATGTGCGACGCGAGCTCCAGCTTCCGAGTTTGGCGAGCTATATGGTCAGCCAGCGCAGCAGGACGGTTATGGACCATCTGGTAGGTCGGCCGAAAGAAGAGGATTCCCAGGGCAGGGCGGCGGCGAAGAACGAGTGCACTTCCGGAGCGGGGCCACCATCACCATTGCCACTGGTTTTATCGCTGTTTCAAAAATCATCACCATTACGAGTGCTGTTACCACATTGTTGCTGCTGAGCTGCTGCCGCCACCGCCATAGCTCCTGCTCCTGCTCCTGCTGCTGCTGCTGCCGCTACTGCTGCTGCGGCTGCTGCTGCTACGGCTACGGGTAGTGCTAGCTACAGTTCCAGTGCGAATGAACATGAGCTTGTGAGTGATGCCAGTGTCAGTGCTTTTGCTGCTGCTGCTGCTGCTGCTAGTGCCGATTCTGACGGGTTGTGAAGGGATATGCGGGGTGTTGTGGAGGTGGGCGGAACACCGGAGGGGCGGCACTAAGGCAGAGTTTCTGCAGTGTTTCTGCCAATGGGAACCCACGGCCTTTAGTCATCCTTTGTCAATCTTAGCGCGAGACAGAAGGCCTTTTCAGTTTTTGTTTCATGTTGGTGGGTCCCAGATACGCATCATGAGTTCAAGTCCCAGTTGCTACTGGGTGGCCCGCGTTTTTTGTGGTTTGGACACGTCGAGAAGGCGTGGGGTTGTGACGGGGCTGTGGCTGGCGGTTGGGGTCACGGCTGGCCAAAGGCGTTGCTTGTAACCGCATCTTTTGCTGCTACCGGCGTGTCCGCTGCGACCCACCGAGCAAGCGCTTGAACGGAGTCCACGTTCGCACAAGTATACCGACTCTACGAAAACATCGGCGGCTTACGCTTTTGGCGCATGACTGACAGGGGCAGGCGGCCAGCGGATCGGCTCGGAGCAGAAGCCGCGCATCACCATTAAAGCTTGCACCGACCATGCAGCGCCCCGAGTTTCGCCAAGCCTACACATTCGCCCGCCGGGCAGTGGGCTGTCTGGGCGATGCTTGTCCTGTATTGCGTCTGTACCGTTCTGAGGCTGCTGCGCATTGCCTGGTCGAGCTCGATGCCGGG